TGACTCCCTATTATAAGTAGGAAAATGAGGGGGGGTTATGAAACAACTGTCTTCAGACATTGAAAACACAATACTTTGATCTCTGAAGTGCAGGAAACAAATGAGATGAGTCCTATGATCACCGCCAGATGTTTGCCAATCAATAACTTTTGAACTGCATGCAAGTGCAAGAACGGGCAGCCCAAACAGAGACCTGCTGAGTTAAAGAGACAGAAATCATAACGGGGAGACTGGGTAGCTGGAATTGCAGAGCAGAGTTCCAGAAAGCAGGGAATGCAGAAGAAAAGCACTGGAAATCTACACAGGGACCCCTTTGAGTCTACCACTAAAGACCGAACTGTGCACATATATGAGGAAACTCCACAGGCCAGGCAAAAAGTAGCCGGGGAGTTATGACCCAGCAATAGCACTGCTAGGAATTTACCCAAGGGATACAGAAATGCTGATGCATAGGAGCACATGTACCCCAATGTTCATAGCAGCATCTCAACAATAGCTAAAACATGGAAAGAGCCTAAGTGTCCATCAACGGACGAATGGATCAAGAAGATGTGGTTTATCTATACCATGGAATACTACATGGCAATGAGAAACAATGAAATCTGGCCATGTGTAGCAACATGGATGGACCTTGAGGGTGTTCTGCTGAGCGAAATAAGTCAGGCAGAGAAGGACAAATATCATATGTTTGCACGTATAGGAGGACTAGGAGGAACTTAACTGAGGAACAAGGGGGAGAAGAAGGGGGGAAATGGTGGGGGAAAGGGAGAGAGGCAAACCATGAGAGACCCTTGAATGCTGACAAAAATTGAGGACTGATGGATGTGGGGGGGAGGGGGGATGGGCATGGAGGAGGACACTTGTGGGGATGAGCACTGGGGGTTATGTGGAAACTAATTTGACAATAAACTATTTGTAAAAAAAAAAAAAAAAAAAAAAAGTAGCCGGGGAGTTATGGGCTGAATGGGTCCCAGAGCTTAGTCGCTAAGTAGGACTCAGAGGTGTTTGAATTCCAGACAGCCAAAATGGAAAGCCCTCACTGATCACTAGGGACATTTGGCACAACTGAAGGGTCGTGCCTAGGCAGAAGGGCTAAAGTATCTCTAGAACAGAGTTTCTTTTTTTTCTTTTATTTTTAATATTTTTTTAAAATTTATTTCTAGGAGAGAGAGAGAGACAGCGTGAGCAGGGGAGGGTCAGAGAGAGAGGGAGACACAGACTCTGAAAAAGGCTCCAGGCTCAGAGCTGGCAGTCAGCACAGAGCCCAACGCGGGGCTCGAACCCACGAACCGTGAGATCATGACCTAAGCGAAAGTCAGACGCTTAACCGACTAAGCCACCCAGGCGCCCCTAGAACAGTTTCTTAACAGTTGACCTTCTGCACGAGGCAATTCTTTGTTGCCAGGTGCTACCATGTGAGCTGTAGGATACTTAACAGCATCCCTGGCCTCTGCCCAGTAGTTGTTAGTGGCACCCACCCTACTCATGACAACCAAAAATGTCCGGACATCGCCAAATGTCCCATGGTGGGGCAAAACCATTCCTACTGGAGACCCACTGCTCTGGAATAAAGATTACTCTAGACCCAACCCAACCAAACTTGAAAAACAAGCATGAAAAGAATCAAATTGAACCAAAGGAACATATGATGATCTGGTTATTAGAAGAAAAAGAGTTTACAAAAGTTGACGACCATTCATAATAAATACTCTGAGTAAAGCAGGACTAGAAGGGGACTCCCTCAACCCCAGTGACAGACATCTACAAACATCCCACCAAGTGGTGGAAGACTGAACACTTTCTCCCTAACATTAGGAACAAGTAAAGGATGTGCATGGTGAGTGCTTCTAGACAAAATTCTTCTAACAGTCTTAGCCAGTGCAATAAGAGAAGAAAAAGAAATTAACACCTTGGGGACAGGAATGGAAGAAGTACCACTTTTTATTTAGTGATCACCATCTATGTAGAAACTCCTGACAGGTTAGAAAAATGTTTCTAGATTTACTATGCAAACTTAGCAAGGTCAAGATACAGAAGTCAATTATATATCTATATTCTCGCAACAAAGAGACCCTGAATTTCAAAAATAACAGTGCTCTGAATAGCACCCCCTAAATGTCAACCCCTTAGGGATAAATGTAACAAAATACATGTAAGAAACTCACATTTTGAAAGCTATGAAACATAACTGAGGGAAATGAAATAAGACCCAAAGAAATGAAGAAGATCTAAATGCTCATGGGTCAAAAGGACTTGTATCCAGAATACTAAAAGAACTATTAAAATTCAACACAAATGTAAACAACTTAGCTTAAAAATTGAGCAAAAGAGTTGAACCTTTCAAATAGAAGATATGCAAGTGCCCAAAAGGCAAAAACAAAACAAAAACAAAAACAGATATTCAACCTCTAAGGCATCAGAAAATACAAATGAAAACCACAACGATGTTATCACAACACAACTGTCATCAGGATGACTAAAATTTAAGACTGGAAATGCCAAATGTTAGGAGAAATGTGAGGCCAACTGGAACTAACATATTGCCAGAAGGAATACAAAGTATGCAACTAAAATTGAAAACTTATTTGACAATCTCTTAAAAAGCTAAGCATATGACCCAGAGATTAGATTCTCCTCCTAGTTAACCCGCCATTAACAATAAAAAGTGGAAGCCAATTATTAAAATGGGCTCAGGGTGCCTGGCTGGCTCAGTTGGTGGTGAAGCTCTGACTTCAGCTCAGGTCATGATCTCATGGTTTGTGGGTTCAAGCCCCGCATCGGGTTCTGAGCTGACAGCTCGGAGCCTGGAGTCTGCTTCAGATTCTTTGACTCCCTCTCTCTCTGCCCCTCTCCCACTCTCACTCTGTCTCTCGCACTCACTCTTTCTCAAAAATAAACATTAACAAAATAAAAATAAAATAAAATGCTCAAGCAAAAAAAAAAAAAAAAAAGAGGATTATACAACAAGATTGACAAAATTTAGACAATGGCTGACGTGTGACCAGGGTTGCTGGCGTCCTGAGAATTCATTATACTATTTTGTCTACATCTGTGTTTGAAAACGTCCACAATCACGAGTTACCAAATATAAAAGTACTACAAGTAGGATACAATTTTTGAGCTTAGAAAAAGGCATATCCATAGAAACAACGAAAAGAGAAATCCATGAACGTATTTCCAGCTGCCTCTCCATCCTGGGATTATGGGTAATTTGGGGCTTTCTTCATATCTTCCTTGAATTCTCGATGATAAGCACAAAAACTAGCACCACGATCAGAATGTGAACATAATGGCATATAAAATAAGACAGTAATTGAATAAGTATAGCTTTCAATTCCTTTAAGGTCCCAGATTAATGCCAAAGTTACAGACATCTCCATACTCACCCCCTCCGCCCTCTAACTGTGGCCCCCTGACCCCGCCCTGGGGCGCGCAGTGTATCCTCTCCCGTTCTGTGGGGTGCTCCCTCGCACTGTATTCAATCAGCTTCTATCTTTGTCCTGCCTTGGGTGAATTCCGTCACCGCGGGGACTACGGGTCCCCACCTAATCGGGACGCCCCACGATTAAAAATTATATGGCGTGAAGGTCAAGAACCCAGACTGCGGGGCTCGAATTCTCAGTACTGACTCTTCCCCGCTGTTTGGCTTTGGGAAAATCAGTAAGTTCTTCATCTATCAACACTGTCATCTGTAAAATACAAATAATTACAATATCTGTGTTATGAAGATTAAGCCACCTAATGCATATAAAGCCTATAGAAGACCGTCTGGCACTCAACATGTTACCAAATTATTGCTCGTTCATCAACCCATGTCTCATCCCAACCTCCCATTATAAACATCAGAACATCTGCCCGGCAGGAAAATATCTGCCAAGGAGTGAAGGAAGTCTGTTCCTCAGTTGAGAGCAGAAATGGCACAGCATGTTAAAGCCCCAAATTACCCATAATCCCAGGATGGAGAGGCAGCTGGAAATACGTTCATGGATTTCTCTTTCGTTGTTTCTATGGATATGCCTTTTTCTAAGCTTCTCAGAAACTGTATCCTACTTGGTACCTTGTGATTGCAGTTGGGACCCCGTTAGCAGGACGCTGGGGGTCACTCCCTTCTCCTCTGCACCCTCTGAGAACTTGGGGCAGAGAAAAGAAAGGAGGCTGGCAGAGATCACAATTTTGTCTCTGGTCCGGGATAAATCACGGAAGACAATCACAGGCACCAGCTGGGGGTGAGACCAGCATTTCCTTTAAAAAAGGAGTGCGGGGGCGCCTGGGTGGCTTAGTCGGTTAAGCGTCCGACTTTCGCTTAGGTCACGATCTCGCGGTTCGTGGGTTCGAGCCCCGCGTCGGGCTCTGTGCTGACTACCAGCCTGGAGCCTATTTCGGAGTCTGTGTCTCCCTCTCTCTCTGACCCTCCCCTGCTCATGATGTCTCTCTCTCTCTCTCTCTCCTAGAAATAAATAAAACATTTAAAAAAAATTTTTTTTAAATAAAAAAGGAGTGCGGTGGGGTAGAGAGGAATCCAGAGGAATCCTAAAAGGCCCTGCTTCGCGCAGGCGACAGGGAAGGGCCAGCGACGCTGCAGCTCACTGGCTTTCAGGAACCGAGCGCTTCGCGGGAAGCAACCGTGGATTGGTGACAACCGGCCACCGTTTCGGTGCCAGGATCGCTTCCAACCAATCTCACGTCTATTTACTTCAAGTAAAGCCCGCTCCGCGCCTACTAGGCAGGTACTACCCTCAATTCCACTTTACAAAGGACAAACAGAAATAAAACAAGTCCACGAAATGTCTCTAGATGGTGGCAGAGCGTGTGGAAGTGGGGGAGGCGAGGGAAGCCAAGGTCGCGACCCCCGCCCGCGCGCAACGCCAGGGTGACACACCCCGCCGCCCAGCCCTCAGCGGCTTCTGTTCCTCTTCTAGTCCCCGAGAGCGCGGGCGGCACTTGCGGGCTCCGCGCCGGGACAAGCTTGGCAGGGAGGCGGGGACTCAGCACCCACTCACCTCCCAGAAGGTACCGATGAACGCGGCTTCGTGCTCCCGTGGCGGAAGTGCCCAGGCCGACACCGTCCCTGGACTACCTTTCCCAGAACCCCCTGCGGAACAAGGGCTCAGAGCTTCTTCCCCCGGCAATGGCAGTGGCTGTGACTCCCCGCGCGCCTGGACCTCACTTCCCAGAATCCTCGCTAATGCGGCTCTAATTCTAAGTTGTCACTTTTTTCCCCCTTAAAGGTATAAAAGTTACGGTTAGGTCCGTTCTCGGGGGCTATTGGCTTTTGACCTTTCTTTTCTTTCTTTTCCTTCTGGTTTAAAAAAACCTTTAATTATGGGGCGCCTGGGTGGCTCAGTCGGTTGAGCGTCCGACTTCGGATCAGGTTATGATCTCACGGTTCGTGGGTTCGAGCCCCGCGTCGGGCGCTGTGCTGACGGCCAGCTCGGAGCCTGGAGCCTGTTTCAGTCTGTGGCTCCCTCTCACTCAGACCCTCCCCTGCTCACGCTGTCTCTCTCTCTCTCCTAGAAATAAATAAAAATATTTTTAAAAAATTACAGTACTAATAGGTGTGACTGTAAAGAAACGTAATTGTATAGGAGAGAGAAGAGAGGTGAAGCTAGGCTCTCAAGGCTGATTTAATGCTAGGAAGTACCGAGATCTCTGACAATGTTTACCTGGTATGAGGTGTTCATTCCAATGATAATAAGGTTCAGCAAAAACAAAGAGTAACTTCTGAAGGATCCAGACTGAAGGACAACTAAAGTTTCCCACTTCTCTTGGTTTTAATTGTGCACTTGGAAAGGTGGGTCTTTTCTGATAAATGAAAAAAGTTGTAGTGGCAGGGAAGTAAAGAAAGTACTGCAATTGGGGGGAAAAAAGCCTTAAATACATCTTGAAAATGTCTTTAGTTTGCTTTCAGCACATCACCTACTGTCCATTCTGCACCTGACATCGTAAAATACAGCAGGATGTTTTATTTTTCTACAGAGTGGTTGAAGTCAACCATGGTTAGTCAATTTTTTTATAGCTTATTCATTTTTGAGACAGAGACAGAGCATGAGCTGGGGAGGGAACAGAGAGAAAGAGAGAGAGATAGAATCTGAAACAGGCTCCAGGCTCTGAGCTGCCAGCACAGAACCTGACCTGGGGCTCGAACCCACAGACCTTGAGATCATGACCTGAGCGGAAGTTGGATGCTTAACCGACTGAGCCACCGAGGCCCCCAGCCATGATTATTCAAAATTAGGTGTGGAAGTGGGGGGTCTTGATCAGAGAGTGGTAAAAATTCAACTTTTTTTCAGCCTTATTGAAATATGATTGAGAAAAAATTGTAATATATTTAAAGTGTACGTGATGAATTTCCACAATGAATCAGCACATCCATCAGCCTAACTTTGTTTGTTTGTTTGTTTTGGTGAGAACCTGTAAGTTCTACCCTCAACAAATTTCAGTTATGCAATAGGGTACTATCAAATCCTCAGACTTTATTCATCTTACAAGTGAAAGTTTATACCCTTTAAAACAGCCTCTCCTCATTTTTCCCACCTGCCAACCTCAGGCAGCCACCTTCATTCTACTCCTGTTTCTATGGGTTCAGCTTTTTATTTCCTCTCCTAGATTCTACACGTAAGTGATAAAAGGAAGTATTTGTCTTCATCTGGCTTGTTTCACGTAGTGTAATACCCTCCAGTTTTATTCATGTTGTTGCAGATATTTCTCCATATATTCTGTATGCCAGTGGTTAGAATTAGAGGTTGTTTGATTCACGTTTTGGTTTTTTTTTTTTAAGGAAGAATACTACATAGGTGGTTCTGTTGTATCTCTTATTACCCTAACTGGAAGCTGCCAAGACACCCTAAAAGAGAATAAAATGAGAAGACATCCTTCTTCGACCAAATATCAAGACTCACTGCTGAGCTATGGTGTTGGGAGCCATGTCTGAACTCATAAATTGAGAAAAAACTCCTTGTGAGGTTAAGATAAGTTGCACAGACTTTTACCGGCAGATGGCGACCGATATCCACCCCCACCCAATTGTGTCTGCCCCCCCCCCCAAGGCACCTTGTTGATTGGTATTTGGAGTGACTCATTCTGGCCTTGATATGCTGATTACACTTTGTGAGGGAACTTACCATAGGAACTTCTTTTGTGGGTCTGGGAGCAACATCTCGGTCCTGAAAGACCTGTTTTTCTTAATACCTCACATTAAGCAATAAACAGGCTATTGACCTCTGCTCAAAAAGAACTAATGCCACTTCTGGGCTGTTCCCCATACATCTATGCATATCAGTGTTCTGCATAGTTTTTACTGATCAAATGATTTATCATCAGAATGCCACTTCTGTGCCGTCCCCCAAACACTTAATCCTAAAATAAAGTTGAGTCTCAGACAGTGCGGAGAGGCCTGGCTGGTGACCAGAAAGAATCTCGTGCCTCCCTCATCCCTCCTTCGCCGACACCATCCATCCTTCAGGGACCCCTAGACCTGCTGGAGCTGGACTCCAGCACTATGGTAACTAAACCAGTGTGGTATCGATGAAAGTATTGAAAAAATAGACCAAAGGCAATTGAGAATGAAGATAACACATCTATATTCATATATGACTATATATATGGATAGGTATAAAAAAGAAGACAGGGGAGAGAAAGAGGGAAAGAAAGTTTATTCATTTAGAAAAAGTAAATTCTCTACCTTCCAGAAGTTTCAAGGAAAGGAAGTACATGGCAACAGAAGTGGGTTTTCCCTGCACCTTTATTCATATGTGATTATCATCACATTACAGTTACATTTAGGTTAGTGGACAACACTGGGTTCTTTGATTCTAAAGTGAGTCACTTGTAGACAGCATATAGTTGGATCTTGTCTTATCCATTTTGTCAAACTCTGCCTTTTAATTGGGAAGCTTAATTCACATTACATTAATAATCAATAATTTAATTTACATTTAAATTAATTCCTAAGAAGATTCCTTCTGGGGCACCTGGGTGGCTCAGTCGGTTAAGCGTCCGACTTCAGCTCAGGTCATGATCTCGTGGGTTCGAGCCCCGCATCAGGCTATGTGCTGACAGCTCAGAGCTTGGAGCCTGCTTCAGATTCTGTGTCTCCCTCCCTCTCTCTCTCTCTGCCCCTCCCCCATTCGTGCTCATTCTCTCTCTCTCTCAAAAATAAACATTTAAAAATTTAAAAAAAAGAAGATTCCTTCTGTTATATTGCTATTTGTTTTACTACATATGTCTTACTATTTTTGTTCCTTAATTATTCCATTATTGCCATATCATTTGTGTTTGATTTTTTGTATCATTTTGATTTCCTCCTCATTTTCTGCATGTCTTTTAGTTATTTTCTTAGTAGTTACTCTGAGGTTACAGTTCATCTCTTAATGGATTACAACTTATTTTGAATTAATACCAACCTAGCTTTAATAGTATAAAAGACTCTGCTCCCATATACCTCTGCCTTTTTCTCTTTAGGTTATCACAAATTATATCTTTATACATTGTCAACCCGTTAATATAGATTTACAATTGTTGTTTCACATGTTTTGTTTTAAATCATATAGGAGTTATCCATTATTGTGGGATTGAGCCCTGCTTAAGATTCTCTCTCCCCTTTCCCTCTACCCCTCCCCCACTCATGTGCACAACCTCTCAAATACATATATATATATTTTTTAATTAAGTCTTTAAAGAAATGAATGAAAAAAAAGCAGAATCAGACCTGTAAATATAGCAAACAAACTCATGGTTGCCAACAGCGAGGGGGCAGGAAGGTGAGAAAATGGGTGAAGGGGAATGAGGGATATAGGCTTCCAGTTACAAAATGAATAAGTCATGGGAATAAAAGCTACTGCACAAGGAATAAGAAATGTAATAACAATTTATCAGGACAGATTGTAGCTACACTAGTGGTGAACATAGCATAATATGTAAATGTCAAGTCACTCTGTTATAAACCTGAGCTTAATGTAACATTGTGTGTCAATTATACTCAAATTTAAATACACACACACACACACACACACACACACACACACACTTCAGTCATTTCATTTATTACCTGAAGTGTCTTACTAATAAGGGGTAAAAGAGTTTCTCTGTGAATGAGTATTTTTTCTATGGGCTTTCCTTCATTGTATTTTTTAAATTCAAGGTTAAAATAAAAACACAGCTAGACACATCATATTGAAACTGTAAAAAAATACAAGATAAAGAGAAAATTTTGAAGATAGCCAGAGAGAGGGGAAAGGATACAATACATAGAATTACAGAACACTTCTTATCAGAAACTGTGCAAACCAGAGGACAATATAGAAGAAAGAAATCTATGGACCCCAAATTCCACACCCAGCAAAAATACCTTTGAAAAATGGAGGAGGAGTGTCCAACTTCATCTCAGGTCATGACCTCACAGTTTGAATTCAAGCCCTGCATCAGGCTCTGTGCTGACAGCTCAGAGCCTGGAGCCTGCTTTGGATTCTGTGTCTCCCTCTCTCTCTCTCTCTCTGCCCCTTTCCTGCTCACGCTCTCTCTCTGTCTCAAAAATAAATAAATGTTTTTAAATTTTTAATTAAAATTAATTAATTTAATAATTTAATTTATTAATTTAATAAAAATTTTAATGAAGGAGAAATAAAGACTTCTTAAGACCAAAAACAAACAAACAAAAAACTGAGAATTCATTAGCAGACTAGCACTACTAGGAATTTTAAAGGAAGTTATTCAGGCAGAAAAATAAGATACTACACAGAAATTTGGACCTACAAAGAAATAAGTATTGCCAGAAGCAGTTAAAATATTAATTTGTATTTTAATTGCTCTAAAAGATAATTGTTTAAATCAGAAACAGAAGCAATGTATTACGGCTTTATAGCATGTGCAAAAGAAAAATATTTGACAAGTGCACAAAACCTTAGAGGAAGGAATTGTGGGTATATGGTTGTATAAGTAGAATATGTTATTTGAAGGTAGACTCATTAATTAAAGATGTATATTGCAAGTCCTATAGTAGTCACTAAAACAATTATAAAAAGTGATATAAATAATAGGCCAATAGTGGACATTATATGAATTCACAAAAAAATTTCTAATAACAAGGAACAAAAAAACAGTAGACAATGAAAATATAGATTTATATCCAAGCATATTGATAATTATATGAAATATAAATGGCATAAACACACCAATTAAAAGACAGAAATTGTCAGAGTGGAATAGGATATACTGTATGTAGTCATGTACTTTCTATTAATATATTAGAAATCTACAAACCTATTTTGTACTTTTATGTTATTGGATACTTATAATCAAAACTGCTACCAAGGGAGCGCCTGGGTGGCTCAGTTGGTTAAGTGTCTGACTTCAGCTTAGGTTATGAACTTTTGGTCTGTGAGTTCAAGCCCCACATTGAGCTCTGTGCTGACAGTTCAGAGCCTGGAGTCTGCTTCAGATTCTATGTCTTCCCCCCTCCTTTCCCCTCCCATGCTCATGCTGTGTGTGTCTCTTTCTCTGTCTCTCTCAAAGATAAGTAAACATTAAAAAAAAACCCTTTTACTAGGGTATTGAATACATTTAGTCTTACTAGAAAAAAAAAAGAAATTGTCAGATTGGAGACTAAAGCAACAATAATCAAAATAAAGCTGGAAGGGCTATGTAATTTTAGGCAAACACTGATTTTTAAAAAGCTGGAGTGCTTATATGAAAATTAAAAAAGAAATCTAGACAAAGAATATTACCAAGGAAAAAAGGAACGTTACATAATAATAAAGGGGTAATTGGACCAAAAAGGCATGAAACGTGTATGACAAAGAAATAGAGCTTCAAAAATGTATCAACAACTGATAAGACTGTAAGGCTAAACAAATCCACAATCACAGAGGCTCCACCACCCTCATCAATCAATAGGACAAACAGAAAGAAAATCAGTAAGGATACAGAAGAG